ACTTAGCTGCTTGAAGGGATATTTATATTTTTGATAAATGTTTTGACAACGCCTATCATCATAGTAATTAATTACAAAAAAACGTATTAAAATATTAACAAAAGGTACAAAATTAGCATCGACACGTATTTAGGGTGGATCGTAAATCTCAAAATTTTAAAATTTTTAAAACATCGACTTGGAATACCTACGAAAAGTTGCCTTTGGTAATGTTGATAAAAAAGTGTTACTACAACTTTTTAATAAAATCACATCTGCCCTCTACCATCCCTTAAAATATGAAAAAAAAAATTTTTGAAAGATCGATTTGGAATATCTACCAAAAGTTACCTTTAGTAATGTTGATAAAAAAGTTTATTCAAATATTTTTGATTAAATCACGTCTTCTGCCCTCTACCGGCTGTTAAAAATTGAAAATAAAGAATTTCAAACCGAGAATATTTGCCTGTTTGATAACAGCGCATGCAAATGCGAATTTTTTGAACAATGTTCTTGCGAAAAAGAAAAGAAAGGTACCTCAAAATGAACAGGTTTTTTGGATAGATCAGAGGGGGCTTAGAAAAATGGTTATTAAGAAAATTGATATAATGGAAACCTCAAAGCTGATAAACAAGGCCAGGAGAAGAGAAAAAGATATGCAACGGAAAGAACTATAATAATCCATCCAACATGAAAGCAACATCAATTTATCAAGAAAGCGAAAGTCATCGACAGATATAGAAATTGATCATGAATTGCCTTCCACTTCCTATGACAGTATCAAGAGAAAAATACAGCGTACAAAATTTGTTGTCAAACTTCCTACCCTGGCTAAAGTATGTGACCGCTATGGACTATCAGATAGATCTGCAGAAGCATTGGCAACGGCAATGCAACACGACCTTGGAATTGTCATCAAAGACGATAATAAAACATTACAGATCGTTGAAAGCTGAGAAGAGCAAGAGAGCAAACAAGAAACAATTTTAAACAAAACTCCTCGAAAACTTTTGAAGGCCATTTATTTTGACGGAAGGAAAGATAAAACCTATGTTATTGAAAATATTGAAGGCAAGTCCTACAGAAGAACTGTACTTGAAGAACATATTTCTTTATTTTCAGGAGCCGGGTTCTATATTTTTGGGTCACACAGTTCCCAGTTCTGTATCGGCTCTAAGTATTTGTCAAAGTATTTTGAACTTTTTCGAAAGTAATGAATATAACCTAGAATAACTAGTAGCAGTAGGATGTGATGGAACCGTGATGAATACAGGAAAAAAAGATGGTGCAATTTCTCAATTAGAATTAAAATTAGGACGCCCTTTACAAAGATTGGTCTGCCACAAATCCCACAAATTAATTTTGACGCAAATGACTGTATTGTGTGTGATCTAATTGATTGGCAAAAAAATGAAATAACTTGTCCTCTATTATTCCAAACTTTGGAAGTAGATGATTTGAAAAATATGATTTTAGTTCTTCTGAAACAATCATCGCCATCGCTGTATTTTCCTGTCACACTCAATCAGTAAAGAGATGCACAGGGGTGGATGGGGAAGTGGAAACCGGCCCAGGAAAAACAGGCAACCGGCCCAAATCCACAAAAACAAAATGGCCATAACGAAGATACATATATTTTATTTATTAATATACAGGGTGGCGTACCTCATACGCCTCGGTTGATTATACGAAAACGGAAAGATGTAGAAACAAAATCTTTTATGGGTATATGTAGAGAGACAATGCGCATAATTTAAAATTATTTTGAAATGTACAGGGTGTGTCAGAACTAAGATACATACCAAAGTTATATTTTTTCTTATGGAATACCCGGTATTTTATTTCATTTTTGGATTCTTGGACATGAAATAAGGCATTTATTATAAGGGTTTGATAGGTCTAAAAGCTTAGGTTTTCGAGATATTCAAAGATACTTAAACATGAATGCTATAATGAAAAGGTTTGTCAACACCTTGTACATTACTTTTCAGAATTAATTCTGGTGCTGACTTTCAAGCTAGAGAAATAAACTTAACTAAAAAATTTGATTGCTTCCTTAAATGTATACAGGGGTATTCAAAATTGCTGGTCTATTTTAACTATTTATTTTACATTAAAACTTCGTTATTTCAAATGCAACAGTATGTATTTTTTTAAATAAGTCGAAGCAGATTTTACTACTCTTTCAAACTATATTAGGGTTTTCTATACCTATCTGGCTCAGATTTTGAATAAAAAACGATTTTTTAATAAAACTGTTATCAAGATGGCTGGTGTCGCCATGGCAATTTTCTAGTAACACTTAGTAGCTATTTTCAAAATCGACATTAGTTTATGGTCTTTATTTAAATTTATAACAGTTAACTTTTTATTTAATTTACCTACAACAGTTTAATAAGTAAGCATTTATTATTTTGTTAAGAAAAATAAAGAAGTAGTTCTTTGATTTATATTACGATGACTTGTAGATGTATTGGGTTTTCTATAAAAGAATCAATTAAGGCAAATTCATTTTCTTCACTTCCAACGACAGGTTTTTCATCAGCTCTGCGAAATAGGAAAAGTAGTTTTTTAAAGGAGCTCTTATCAGGAAGATTCCTATTAGGATATCTTTGAGCATAAACCCTTCAGGCCAACAAGCAATTGTCCTCACAAAATAAAATCACTAATAACATAATATGCATTCCTTCCGCCAGCAGATTCTGCTTCATTTTTCTTGATAAAATAATAAATACTTACTTATTAATACTATTGTAGGTAAATTAAATAAAAATAACCTGTCATAAATTTAAATAAAGTCCATAAACTAATGTCGATTTTAAAATAGCTACTAAGTGTCACTACAAAAATTGTCATGGCGACACCAGCTATCTTGATTACAATTTTATTGAAAAATCGCTTTTTATTCAAAATCTGAGCCAGATAGGTACAGGAAACCCTAATGTAGTTTGAAATAGCATTTAAATCTGCTTCGACTTATTTAAAAAATACATAGTGATGCATTTGATACTTATAACGATGTTTTTATGTAAAATAAATAGTTAAAATAAACCAGCAATTTTTGATACCCCTGTATACATTTAAAGAAGCAATCAAATTTTTAAGTTAAGTTTATTTCTCTGGCTTAAAACTCAGCACCAGAATTAATTCTGAAAACTAATGTACAAGGTGTTGACAAACTTTTTTATTATAGCATGTATATTTAAATATCTTTAAATATCTTAAAAACCAAAGCTTTTAGACATATCAAACCCTTATATAAATACCTTATTTTCTGTCCAAGAAGCGAAAAATGAAATAAAATACCGGGTGTTCCATAAGAAAAATTAAAACTTTGACATGGATCTTAGGTCTGACACACCCTGTACATTTCAAAATAATTTTAAATTATGCACATTGCCTTTCGACATATACCCATAAAATAATTTGTTTCTACATCTTTCCGTTTTCGTATAATCAACCGAGGCGTATGAGGTACGCCACCCTGTATAAGTAAAGGTGTTTTTCGTTCGTACGAAAAAGCTCTTTTGCCTCAGGTTTAAAAAAAAATTGTAATGATCAAAACTTTCGTAAAGACCAATATTGGGTGGGACATCTGAATTTTTACTACAAAATAGCTCAGTTTTACAGGGTTCTACTGCTTTATTTCCATTATCGATAATGGTAATTTGATCTTGAATAGGCTACGATTTTGAGTCACGATTTTGAGAAATTTTAAGACTTCCTGATTGATTCAGTTCAGCTGACCCAATCCTCTGTGAAATACATTACTTTTAGCTTTTCGGGTATATACTTTCTTACACATTGTAAAAATATATTCTCTCTTTTCTGATACAGGAGAACCGCGATCGCCATTAAAAGTGCAGCATTTTTTAGGTTATTGTATAGTTCTTATCACGAAACTTTTCCTCTATACTTTTCTACATTTGGCATCTTGTATGATAATGCCATGAATCGCACGAAAAAACCCTCGGCAATACCTAGGTAGTGGATATAAATGTGTTCTGATGTAATGCTATGTTACAGTCGATAATAAGTGCAGTGCTCTACTCGACACATTTTTAACTTTTTGTTAAAGTGTGTAAATATTTGGGCATTTATAAAAAAATTGTTTGACCTTGGTAAGTAGGGTACACTGAGTAGGGGGGTTAAAATGTCATATTTCAATAAGATATATTATTTCTAACTACAAAAGTAACTTATTACCTGAAATTTTGGCAAAAAATCAAGATTTTATATTTTTGTATTTTTTACTTTTTTTGAAGCCCGGTAGAAGCAAAAGATGAAAAAAAATTGAAAAACTTTAAATAGATATGAGTAGGGGGGTTAAAATGCCATATTTCAATAAGATATATTATTTCTAAGTACAAAAGTAACTTATTGCCTGAAATTTTGGCAAAAAATCAAGATTTTATATTTTTGTATTTTTTACTTTTTTGAAGCCCGGTAGGGGGCAAAAGATGAAAAAAAATTGAAAAACTTTAAATAGATATTAGTTTTCTAATACCAATTAGCAACTTTTGCGCAGTATTCCAAAACTATTTTCAAAACTTCGATTTTTCGATCCACTCTAACATATATCACATATCAAGTACATACCTATAGTATCAGAAAAATAATTACCAAATTCAATAAGAAAACGCTAAAAAGTTGGAGTATACTGTTTATTTACTTATGAAACGCAACCCCTGACTCTTTCTTATCGTTGCGGCTTTTACACTTGAAAGCTGAACAAATTACCATTGTAATAAAGTTTATACAAAGTTCACTACACACAACAAATTATTAAAAATCGCTGAAATTTTCTGTTGACGAGGTGGTGACTCATCCGTAGGCTCCAAAATGATGGCGCCTAAGTTACAAATTGTGCTGCAGCCCCTATATGGGCGTTACACGTTCTTGTATTCTTTAGTCATTGATAATAACCTTGTATCACTGTAAAGGATTTTTTACACTATAAAAGGACTATATATAAACTTAAAGACTATAGCTATTAAAATATACTACAGCAATTTTTCAACCTGTTAAATATTCCATAGCATCCCATGGTATAGGTTCATTGACACAAAACATTCCGATAGTATTAAAAGCAAATTCTCTGTCACTATCATTGAATTCGTATACAATATTCCAACCTAAAGGGCCAAACTTCTTTCTTTCCTGAATCACAGCATGAAACATACAGACACCAAACAAGATGAATCTCCAATTTTGATTTAGAGCTAAAATACACAATTATACAGGGTGAGTTAATGCAAATCAAAAGTCGAACACGACCCCAGAAACATATCTATGAGGTTTTTTCGCGAAAAAAGTATATACCGGGTGCATTTATACATTCCATATATGTATACGGCACTTAGCACAATCCCATTGGTCAGATTTGAATTTTAAACCAATTAAACTCCGAGTGCCATACGCGAGTATGGAATGTAAGAGAGTGCCATGCGCACTTACGGAATGTAGCTGGTCATTATGCTTGCAGCAGAAAGTAACGCCTGGCTATAGCTAATCTTGCAAGAGTAGCTGTGGCTCCGTGACTAAGGCCATCGCTTCGTAAACGAGAGGTCCGTGGTTCAAATCTCACGCTGGCGCCGGACCATAACTTTTTTAACATTTTACTTTTTACTACTGTTTTTATTTTTTAAAAAAAGCTGTAAATATTTAATAGCAATCAAAATACGGATTGCGTTGGTTTCACTCTTTTTGGTAGGGTTAGATTATTTGGTGGAGTTAGTCTCGTTGATTAAAATGGTTATTTGGTGGGATTGATTGTGTTGGTTATGTTAGTTATTTGGTGGGGTTGGTTTGGTTTTGGTTGGAATGCTCTATAACAAAGCGTTAATAGTAATGTTTAAGATACATTCCGTAAGTGCATATGGCACGGTCTTACATTCCATACTCGCGTCTGGCACTCGGAGTTTAATTGGTTTAAAATTCAAATGTGACCAAAGGGATTGTGCTAGGTGCCGTATACATGTACGGAATGTATAAATGCATACCGGGTGGTGCATCCTCTTTGGAAACATAGAAAATCGCAAACAAATTTTGAATTGTCCAAATATTGGCTCCCCTGTTAATTTTACAGCGAAGTTGTAAATAGGTTTTTTAAAAGTCCGCGCATGCTGAATACACATGCCATATTTGAACAATTTTGGACAAAACTATTTTAATTAATTTAAGAAAAACTGCGTCTATTTTTAAATTAAAACTGAACAGGTAACAATGCAAAACCAGACAAATGCCAGCGTACCTTAAGTTGTTATCCTATAATTTTGTATCCTATAATGTCAAATTGTATTTTCAAAACGTTAGGTAGGCTTTTACCTCATTCGAACCAGTTTTAAGTTATAAAAATATATTTCGAGAACAATGAGCTTAGATACTATCATTATACTATGGTACTATAACGTAGTAGTGTAAACAGCACAACAAATTACCGTTGACAATATAAAATCATAGGTTCACAACTTAAGGTATGTTGACAGTTGACTGGTTTTGCATTGTTACCTTGTTCAGGTTTAATTTAAAAATAAATGTAGTTTTTCCTAAATTACTTAAAATGGGCTAGTTCAAAATTGTTTAAATTTGTCTCGTGTATTCAGCATAGCCAGACCTCCAAAAAACCTATTGAAGACTTAGCTGTAAAATTAATAGGGGAGGCAATATTTGGACACTTCAAAATTTGCATGGGATTACCTGTGTTTCGACGATGCACCACCCGGTAGCATTTTCGTAACGAGCGATTGCTATCGCAAGACACGTTGAGCCGAATAGTCTATGCGGCAGATCCTCAAAATAGGGTAAAACGTAGCAAATTGGGTTAAAAGCATTAAACTCGCCAGGGTTGTTATTTAGACCATTTTAAATTATTTGAGCCGCAGCACAAAACTTTTTACAAAAAAGGTTAAAAATATTCAAAATTTTAATGCCAACGCCAATTGTATAATATCTGGTGACATATTTTTATAAAATTTACCTAAAAACTAATAACTCAATTATTAATTATTGTTATTAATATTATTATTATCAAAAAACAAAGTTAAACTGATATGTTTATCATCCCTACCCTAGAAATAAACGCAATATCGTAATTTTTATACTTTTAACCTGCTTTAAGTGATTCCACTGACTGTTTATAGTGGAATAAACAAAAGAAGCAATATAAATTAATATATTATAATAATTTATGTTGAGCAAGGAACAAAATATTAATCATTAAACCGTTTGTCGGCTTCGTTTTTTTTAATGTAATATTTGCTTCTTTGTAGCATGAAAAAAAAAATGAAAAAATATAAAAATAAAATAACGGTGGCAGTACCGCATTCCCTAGATAGCTTAATAGATTGGAAAAAATGTTGTATCTGTCAGATTGGTGGTGGAAAAACTGTTTGTCCTGCACATAATCCAGTTGTTTCGCTTCGAAATAAAGGATATGGTATTTTAGCTTTTATTTACTACTTTTAACTAATTACAATCACGTACTTCCATCTGGAATGCAAATTAATTGTCTTAAAGGGGAAGGAGAAATTGAGCAAACATTAATCGAAAAAAAAGCACTGTGACACAAAACATGCAACTAAAAATATTATTGAGAATTTTAACTCCCATAATGTAGTAAATAATGTGGGCGACAGCTGCAGGTCATCAACTGGCCGTTTTACTAACTTAGAAGGTGTATTCTGTGCCCAGATGGAGGAAGCAGATGGACGAATAATCATGCGCGTTAAAGACATGATTATTAACGGAGCCAAATCGGTGTTAATTCGTTGTGCTGAAACTGACATTTTGGGTTTAGTTATATCTTTTTTTCCTCAACGGTACGTCTATATAATACTCAGTCTACTAATAACATAACTATGATCAGGAAACACTTGTTTGCAACTGAAAATAGGCCACTTACGGCTATACCACTAAATCGAGCTGCTCTACATGAACACACATTAAGGGCAGCATACCAGGCGGGTCATATTTGGTCTGACCAAATATATCAAGATGATCTACCTGCTCTAATTAGCTGGGGATGGATAGAGGTTGAGGGAAAATGGGTACCACTGTAGTCGAAAAAAGCCCAAGTTTGGTGAGTCATGCTGGTCACTCGATAGGTCTGGGTGTAACACGCAATGTGAAACAATGCGGTGTTCCTGCAAAAAACATGACTTACCTTGTACAATCGCTTGCAAGAGCTGCAAAGGAGAATGCAGTAATAGGAGGTAAACGATTCTGAAAAAAGTAAAAGTTATAATAAAACTATTTTTTGTTGCAGCTCGAGATTTCAATGAATTTTAAATACCTAAGAAGGCAGCTTATATACTTGTTTTTTATTATTATTACGTAACTCTAAAGAAACTAATTAAGATTAAATATAAACTTATTTTTTTATTACACAAAACATTAGTCCCAGTTTGTGTAGTATTGCCCAAATTGGTACAAAGGATCCTTGACAACGCATCCAAGATAGGTGGGGGGATAACATTCCTTCTCCCCCCATGGGTACGCCCATGGTCTTGTCACAAATTTAATTTCATTTTTCGTACCAAAACTTACAAAAATATCCAGCATTTTGGTCAGAATACGGTAAATATGTTAAAGAATGAAATTTTGAGACTTAAATCAAATATTACAGCCGTAGAGCCCAAACGCTAAGTTATACAAATTTGGCGTATTTTTTTGAAATCTTTTTGTTCGAATTAGCCAAAAAAGACACTAAAAGTAAATAAAAATATTGAAATAAATTTGTGAAAAATTTTAACCCCTTAAAAATTAAATAAGGGTTGTAACCCTAATAATAATCAAAATAATATTTCAAATTCGTGACAAGGCTGATTTGATTTCCCATTACGTCTCAAGTGCTGTATGGCGGCGACACCATAATCGCTCTGCGATCAACATAAAACTCTTATTTTATTTCGCCAGCGAAGCGAAGGCACATCGAAGCGATGAAACTGAAAGCGACAGTGTTGCCATATTAAAGTGTGTAATACGTTGACGAAAATAACTTGGATGAAAAATTCGCGTTTACGTATTGAAAGTTTATTTGTGTTAAACATAGAATAAACAACAAAAATAAATATTCTAAAAATAACAAAAAGCAATGTAAAATCTTGATTAAAATGAGATTTAATCATTATTTCTCTATTTTTATAAACATAAAGTCTGCTATGGACCCGTCATGCGATGGAAACTGTTATGGATTTTAATTTATAAATACTAATTTAAAGGTGCTCGTTATGTAGTTCTATATTATATATACATAATATGTTTAATTATTCTATAATAACAGAAAATCTGGACTAGAGGATGCTATAAGGATGTAGTCAATATAGGAAAAACAGAAGCCTAGATTGCGTAAGACTTCGTGAATGAAACGTTGGAAAGATTGAGCTGCGTTGCGTAGACCAAATTGCATACGGGTAAATTCGAACAAACCAAAGGGTGTGATTATGGCTGTTTTCGGAATAGATTCGGGATCGTCAGGTATTTGATGATATGCCCTAACAAAATCTAGTGAATGAAACGTTGGAAAGATTGAGCTGCGTTGCGTAGACCAAATTGCATACGGGTAAATTCTGAATATACATATAAAATTTTATCAAAATCGGTCAAGCAATTTCGAAGATGGTAACATAATACCGTATGATCGAAAAAAACGGCGTCCAGTTGGCTGGGAAATGAACATCAGTGACATTCCCATATAAATTTACATATAAAATGACAGCGATCTTCATTCCATAGCCATCGCTGACGCCGTTTTTACTCGATCATACGGTATTAAAAAAAATCTATTAAAAAATAGGGGATGATGGTAGAACGGTGAAAAGTCTGGGTTCTTTGTATTGCCAAATAAAAAATAAAAATATTTTTTTTTAAAAAATAAAAAAAAATTGGGATGGGCTATCCTTATCACTTAAGGGTATAAAAATAGATAGCAACCTATTCTTAGACCTACTGAATATACATATATGTAAAATTTCTTCAAAATCAGTCAAGCTGTTTCGGAGATGGTAGCAAAAAATTTAAAAAAACAGCCCCTATTAAAAAATAGGGGATGATGGCAGAACGGTCAAGAATTTAAGGTTGTTTGTATTTTTTAATGCCAAATAAAAAAATAAAAACATTTTTTTCAAAAAATAAATAAAGGGGGTGGGCTACCCTTAACACTTAAGAGTATAAAAAATAGATAACAACCTATTCTCAGACCTACTGAATATACATATAAAAT